AGTAATATATTTACTGAGAAAAATGGTGACGTGTTCAATACTTATTTTACCCGCTGTAATTTCTCATTTTCTGCAACATGTAAAATCCAAAGAGAAACAACAAAAGATGCATTTAGGTTAGAAACAATGATAAAGCTCAAAAACGTCTCCCTGCAGTGTTTTTTATGAGGAAGTTGTGAGTTAAACCCAGCTGTCAGCGGAGCGTTGAAGCATTTGGGAAATTGCTCTGTGTTTTCTCTCCTCCTCGTCCATTTTGTCCCTCACTCCATCCTTTGTCTCCTCCTCTTCGCCGCTCTGTAACCGTTCCCCTTCTGCGGGTCGATCAATTAGTTGTCTGGCTCTTTTACAACCGAAGCTCCRGCGGGGGCCGTACCTCTCCACCTTCTGCTCCACTAATTAACCAAATCATCTGTGTCGTTCATTTGTTCATCACGTTTTTAGCGCTCATTGTGTTTTTGTAGGGCTGACAGTGAATACAAGCCTGACAATGATCCAGAAAAACCCTCTTAACTGAAACAACAAATATGATATTCTGATTTACATGAACGTCTGCTGACTACGTAAGGACGTGTGCCACTTTCAGGATCCATATCCACCATTATTACCAGAGCAGGGACAGCTTTAGGTAGATAGGTTTAATTAAACACAGCGAACCACAGTGTTMTACCTCAGTGAGCACAGCACCATGGAAACAAAGTCTGTCAACCAAGGTGAACTTAGACTGCAGCAGCTTTCTTTCTGCTTTAGTCGGAAAGTTTTACATGCAGTCATTTGCACCAAAAATGAGGTTTAAGGAACCGACACTGACGAACAGACCCCATCCTACCTCCGACCGCTGCTCAATATCCACAGCTGTGTTCGTAACCTCCGCTCCGGCAGCTACATTAACCGTCATAAAGCACAAACCTCCTTTGGTTGTTCATCGTTTCAATTTTCTGCTGCAAAAGACTGAAACCAGCTGCAGAAAACGCCACGACTTACTGCTTTTTTCCACATTTGCATCGTTTAAAAAGCAGTGAGAGCGTCAGCTGATGACCGCTGCACGTGCTTTTCCACTTCAATCCCAGTTGTCACTCATTTGTAGCATTAACCTGTCACAGTTCCAGTCTTGAATAAAGTACCACAAAGTGATCCTTGAGTAAAAGTACAAGTATCTTACTATAAAATTACTTTGGTAAAAGTTAAAGTCTCCTCTAAGAATATTACTTGAGTAAAAGTCTTAAAG